CAGGCTGGCTAGGATAGAGCCTGGCCTTGACACCTTTCAATATCACAAGAGACAAGAGCACTTGTCAGCCCAGACTCTGGAAGCACATCCAGAAAAAGCCCACATGTGGCCACAATCCAAGGCAGGTTGGGGCTTCAGAATCCAGCACCCAGTGTATTTGGGGACCAGTTCCTTCCAGAAGGCTCACCAACTTTTTCCCAAGCTCTCTCGGTGAGTTCCCAGCACCTGTGCCCAGTGCTGGCTTCCAGAAGAGCCCAGCCTCGAGGAGCAGCACAGACAATGCAGAACCAGTCAGTAAAACAGCAACAATGCCCTTGAGTCACAGTCATGCCCGTGCCAGGCACCTGCCACAGGCCCAATCCTCCCCTTAGTCGGTGCTATGATAGACTTTCCCAGTAGAGGGCGCTAAGGTGCCACTGCAGAAGCAAAGGACCTGAAGTCATAATGCTGAGAGCTCTGACAGATTTGTGGCAATCAGTGTTTGTCCCTTGCATGAGCCACTGTCATCTGCAATAGCAAAAGCAGCAGCCATCTGAGCCATGGGGGCTCAGGGACCATGTCTCAAAGAACTAACCAACAAAAATCCTCCTAGGATGGTCAGCACTTCTCAACTAGGATCAGATCCCTCCTACCCTTTAGCCATCCCATCCTCTCTGTCCCCCATCCCCCAGACAGGCTTTCTCTGTGTAACAGCCCTATCTGTCCTGGAACTAACTCTTGTAAACCAGGCTGAACTCGAAATCACCGAGACCCGCCTGCCTCTGCCTCCCAAGTGCTAGAATTAAAGGCGTGCGCCACCATCGCCCAGCACACCCCCATCCTCTTCTGCAGCAACGGGGAGGGGGGGGGGAGTCTCCTCCTACCTCTAGGCACAGATTCTTCTGGGGTACAAGGCCAGTTCTACTCCCAAGCAGCCCTCTCTGGGAACAAAGCTGTCCTATGGGCTGGTCCCTACCCAATTCTGGAGGCCAGGCGACAGAACCTGGCCACTCAGATCAGGTGGAGGCAGAAGCTGGAAGTGCCTATTGTCTGGCAAGAATAGAGCTGAAAAGTAAATATGGAGTAAGGCAGGCAAAACATCGCTCCATGAGCCTCCAGGACAGGCACTGAAAAGGCAAGGGTAAAGCACAGCAGGACAATGGGATGGCTCGGAGGGAAGGTGACTGTAAGAAACAGGAGTGCTCACAGTCAGCTGTGACTTACACCACACATCAGGGAAGGCACACAATAGAAACCATGATAAGAGGCATGGATTTGCCACTAAGATTATTCATTTTCAGTAATATTGGTCAACTTTGTGTGTCTGTGTGTCTTTTTGCCTGTGTGTGTTACAATAGATACCGCAGGTCTTGACCCCTGAGAACACCTGCCCATTTCAAAGTCAGTTGGGAACACTATCCTCACTGGAAGAGCATGGGCCGTGTGTGATGTTGAAGGTTATCAGGGGCTGCCTCCTTCCGTGCCCTTCTTATCTTTCCAATGCTGTAGGGAAGTCTGGCTTTGTGGAGGACACAGAAGTCATGAGACCTAGAGAAGGCTTCACTGGAGACTTGTCTCTGGACAAAGCAGCCCTGTGTGCATCTCCATTGGAGACAGTGGCAGGAAGAGCACCACAGCCATACAGAACTAACAGAAGGGACGGCAATGTCTAGGGAGGGGTAGAGATCTTTCGGGGTCCCCACTATCTATGCCTTCCTGTGGGCTACAAAACCCACACCCCTGGCCCATACAATATCACTCCAAGCCTGGTAGATTTTTTTTTTCCTTGAGTCACACAGGCAGTGCAGCCCTGTCTCTCAAAGTCTTCAAGCTCCTACACTGCCTATTGAACACAGGTCTGATGCTAACTAGAGGTCATGAAAAGACCAAGGACCTCATAGAAGTTAAGTCAGGCAAGGCTGGCAAGAGGCCACTCTATAAAACCTTATAGGAAATGATCATGTCTTCTGAAGGTGCCACCCCACAGAAGGGCTCTGGAAGGACGGTGCGTGTCTGTGGTCATGGCCCTCAGAGCCTGAGGGAGAAGGTGCTGCAGCTGCTGCAGGACTACTCAAAGACTCGGGATGCTGTGCATGTCTACCCCGCAGGACTGTGAGGATACAGATGCAGACACTGGTGCTGGTAGACTTTCAAGTGGCATGCTGGACACACAACCAACCCAACATACGCTGCTACTTCTCTTGTGAAGCAGCTTACATCCCAGGGCTTGGAGGCAGGCCACCGTGCCCAGCACCATGCAGGCCACCGTGCCCAGCACCATGCAGGCCAAGTCCTTTCCTGCCACTAGCAGGAAGAAAACTAGTGTAAAGGCACTGCCGTGGAGCAGAGACTTGGGACAGTTCCGCTTCACATGCCATGCTAAGGAGCCACAGGGCCGCCAGGTAACATGGTTGGTTCTGCCCCAAGAGGGTCCTCAGTAGTACCTAGTTCTGAAGATGAATTGTTTGCAGAAGCCTCTTGCCAGGTTACACTGCAGAGCACGCACCACTCTATTCAAAAGGCAGGCAGGAAACAGTGGGCTGTTGGAAGGCTGGGGGTCAGAGACCCTGAGGGGGACACTGGACCTCTCTGAGCCTGGGGGCCATCAGGAGAGAGGCTAAGCACACAGTTGAAACCCAACTACAGGCCACAGGTGACAGAAGAGAGATAAGAGGTCAAAGCAAGAACAGGGTATCACTGAGGCCCCACCAAGTCCTCCAGTCCATATTATGTAAAACTAGCATGGCACGGTGCCCTAAAACATCTGTGGATGCCAGCTGACACACACAGCAGGCCCATGTCTGACCAGGCTCCAGAGCAGAGGAAGGGCAGTCTCAAACCACAGCTGCCAGCCTAAATAATAAGACAAGGGAAACACACAGTTCCGGAGAACAGTATCACCCCACACTACCCACGAGGCTGTCCCTGAACTTGGTACATCCCACAGCTGTTACCCCCATGTTGCAGATGAAACACAGAGAGATCACACATGAGTCAGGGCTCATAGTCATGTCCACAGCCATCAGTCTTCCAAAGATCATGTTGCCTCAGGACTCAAGGATGTTGGCCCCACTCTCAAGCCGTGGGCCTGAGGCCCTGCATGCCAGCTACACTGGGTGGCATCCTGCACCCTCCTGTTTCTAATGGGCACACGCACTCTGATTCTGAAAATGACAGAGCAGAAACAGTGAGGGCACACATACTACCTGGGGGAAAACCGCTCGGTGTCACCTTGCTGACACCCTGGCTCACAAGGCCCACCTTCCTGAATACCAACTAAATGTCCCTTTTCCTTCCTAGGAGGCAAATTTGTCCTGGCCAATCCCAAACTCATCAGGACAAGGGTCAAGGCCCTGGGCCAGAAAAGGTTTGACAGGCAAGACCAGGATGAAGGTTGTCTTCCTGATTTCTGGAAGGCAATGGGCTAGGCCTGCCCTCCCCACCTACAGGAAATTCTGGCCTATAACCCTGATGATTTTGGGTGCAGAAAAGCTTCCCACAAACACACACACACACACACACACACACACACACACATGTCCACATGCCTACAAGGAGTGCCAGCTCTGAAATGGTGCAGTCTTGGGGGAGGAGTACCCACCACCAGCCCAGGATGGAGGGCAGGCCTGGAGGCCCTTACCCTGTCACACCCTGAAACAGGCCCACAGGATCTGCGACTTGGCCTTGTCTGATAAGAAGTACAGTAGGCCACCACAGGGCGCCTCCCTCCTGCCCACAGTTCCGTATTTCCTGCTGGCAGCACACACTGCAAGGATTCTTCCTCTACTGTCTTTCAGGCTATCAGGAAGGCAGTGTCCTTGTGAGGGGCAGAGATGGGTCCAGGCCCTTTCATTATTAAGGTAGAAGAGCCAAAGAGAGGGATACCATGGGGTGCTTGGATGGTGGGCAACAGCTCCTCTGGGCTCCGCAACCTCTGGGCCGCCCCGCCCGAAGGTGGGGTCGGCCTCACTGCGCGTGCGCCAGGCTGGGCGGCCAGCGAGCGCCACCAAGGAAGGACTGCCCTCCACCGGCAGGACCCCTGTGGTTTAAGGACTTCCACAAATGAATAAAAAACTTATATGGTATAAGGCCAGGGGCCAAGCTGAGCATCACTAGGTCACCTAGAGCCGTAATGGGCATGTATGCCACCCATGTTCCCTCAGTGCCACCTCTAGAGAAGTACCCGCTCCCGGATCCGCCAACCCGAGGCCCAGCGGGTATCCGCAGGCTCGTCACTCCGGGAACACCTCGGTGCCAGCCGGGTGTCCACAGGAAGGAGCTTCGCGGGGCCGCGAGCCAGGAAGGCAGGTCCAGCTCGGTCACAGCCAGGGTCGTAGCACCACAGGCCCCTTTGTCACCTGCACGGGTTGCGGGCGGGCAGGGGACTAGAGGGACGCGCACTCAAGTGCAGAAGTTCGCGCATGCGTCCCTTCCCGTGGCCACACAGTTCCCCCCCCCCCTCGGCGCGCTCACCGAGCGCACACGCGCACTCGCACACAAAGCCAGCGCCGCTCGCGCCCGGCCGCCCCGCCCCCG